ACTTTCGGAGAATTATAGCCAAGCTGGGAATGGAGGATCTCTATTCACCAGCTTGAGGGGGAGTGTTGGAAAACGTGGGGTTACTGGTTCAGATCTGAAAATAGAATTGTATATATTCCTAGGATTGTGGAAGGATTGATTTAGAAAGTTTTTCTTTCTATGATAGTTAGTAACTTAGAACTTAAAAGGGGTGTTTTTCTAAGTAGTTTTTTGAAAGCTTTGTGCTTTCCTCTTGTATTGGAGTGTAATCCCCCTCCTCACCTTCTTCAGTAAGGTTATTTTTTGGAATGCAATCAAAGAACAATTTCAACGAATTTTTAATTCTATGAATCACTTTTTAAGTTTGGAAGTATGAGAATTCCTGGAACTAATTCCTTTTATGGGCTCAAAACTCATTCTAACAATTGATTTTTGCGAATAAATCTTTTCTTCAAAAAAAAATCATTTTTTGCTCAAAACACATGCTTCAAATAGTAATTCTTTGGAGCATAATCTTATTGAAGCATAGCCTAAAATTCTGCATAATTATCAATAAACAAAAAAAGATCTCAAATCCACAATTAGGCAAAACAACTTGGTTAAACCAGTATATCACAACATCAAGTCAATTGAAAGCATAACATTGTCCAAAGATAGACAAGAAAATATTAAGGATATACATTGAAAGGAAATTCTGTATGCACCAAGATATCACATGGGGAAGAAGTATTAACAGGGATAGCCAATGACCAACTCAGGCAAATTTTAGTATCTGGTTAACCATAACAAGTTTTTTATTTGAGAATTTTCATACGAAAGAAATTTCATTAGAGAAATCAGAATCTCACTGCAAAATTTCTGAATATCATGCAAGATGATATCAACTTGTACACTCTATTCTGCTTCTTGATATAGATACATACATATAAACAAATTCATTATAAGAACATAGATATCTATAGGAGATAAGTATACTCACGTTCCCTTCCTTCTCTGAAGATTGTGCCTTTTCTGACTTTCTTAAACCAACTATTGTTCTAAGCCACTTCCCAGAGCCACCCATGATGCCAGTCACTTTAACTCTAGCAAATCAAGACCTGCCATGGCAAAGCATCAAAAAACCCATACTTGTCCAGCAATGTTTACATATTATGTTGATTTACTGGCCAAAGCAAATAGTTAAAAATGAGAAGGTAGAAAAAGGTACTTCATAAAATCCAATAGAACTATCTCATCCCAACTAACTAGTGTAGACCGGTTGGCTACACAAACCCCCTTCCCATATATCTTGCTTTTCAGTTAAGTATCTATACCTTCTTTTTCAATTAATTATATTGAGCAGCATCATACCTAAGAAACCCTAGTAAAGTCCTTCCTTCACTCCTCCAAGTATGTATTGCTAAATGATGAGAGTTGACAAGACCCACGTTCACAATACCTTGCTGATATCTATCATGGTTTTCAGTACTATTGTGTTCCAAGCTTGAATGTTTCAGCTTGAATCATGACATCAGGAATAGAGAAAGTAAGATGTTTTAGCAAACAACACACTGCACAATCCTTATTGTAACTTCAAATATATTGGCCCCATTAGGTGCTACATAGGACAACTGAACTGAGAACAACCCCCAGATACAAGAATCATCGTTTTGAGATTTCCCTAACACCCTCATGCACTTTTTTTTTTGATAAATGAATGAGATTTATTAATCAGCAGAGGAGAATAGTGCAATGTCCCAAGGAGAGGCACAAGATGCAACCTCTCCTGGTTAGTTAAGTACAGCTTCCACTATATTATAACAACTTACAAAGTAGCACAAAACCCTCATGTGGTGCTTACACGGAATTAAAACAGAAATGCAACAAAATGATACCAAACACCACATATAACTTCTTCAATTAATTATTGTTAAATGACGAGATTTGACAAGGCCCAAGTTCACTTATTCCCTGCTGATAACCTGCACATGGCCATTAGAAGTTGGGCCCAAATGTTCAAATGGTAGAATCTTGAATCTGCTAGCTAGCTCAGTTGGCAAAATTTTGTGGATTCAAACCTGAGAGCTACAATGAAATCCCTCTTTCATCAATCCTAGTTACTGACCACTCATCATTGAGCTTGCCTATCTACACACACACTGATAGACAGACAGAGAGATAAACATATGATGTATTTAGGATCAATTTAAAGTTTTTATAGTCTAACTGTGCTTTGTGTTTGGGACCTCTGTAGGGTGTAGTAAGCCTTTTCAGTCCAAGTTTCCTAAAGCAACCAAGAAAGAGTGGAAGAATTATGTAGAAAGCAATTCAGCCCGCAATAGTTGTAGACTGTTTGGGAGGAAAGGAATAGGAGGATATTCAATGAGAAGAGTAGACTGAAAGAGGAATTGTTTAAAGCCATAAAAATCAGAACTACACATTGGATAAAGACACTTGATTTATTCAAAGAGTTCTTGGTGAATGATATTCTAAGGGCATGGATTGATGTGGCATATTCTTCTAAAGAAAAGGAAAAGGTGTTTATGGAGTGGTTACCCCCAGTGGCCAATAAAATAAAGCTAAATTTTGATGGGAGTTCCATGGGAAGCACGGGAATGGCAGGTATTGGAGGAGTATTTAGAGATTGCATATGAAAGGTTTTGGCTTTAGTCTCAGGACCTTTGAGGTCGGGAGATTCACTAAAGGCTGAACTAATGGCACTACTACAAGGGTTAAGAACTGCTAATCAATCAAGATTTTAACACTTGGAAGTAGAGGGATATCCAAAGCTGATCATTTCTTGGGTCAAGAGTAAGCAGCTTGTGCCATGGATCTATGGGCATGAGTTTAGGGAAATAGAATCACAGAGGAGATGAACATGACTTTCAAATGGGTTATAACGACAACAAATAGGATGGCCAACATTCTAGCAAAGCAAGGGGCATAGGCAACAGTTGTTTTGGGCACCAATGTAAATTTTGTAATTTTGTTGGGATTGGAATGAATCCTTATGGGTTACATTCTGTCATTGTAATATCCAGATTCTCATTTTAATATAATTTTCAAATTTCTTGCTGATCAAAAAAAAGATGGCCCCTTTTTTTACTTTTTTCACTTATCGATACATTTAAACATATTTAGAAAGAAGTTCCATGGTGTATGTTGTTTGTGGGTGACATTGTTTTAATTGATGAAACTAATGAAGGATTAAATGCAAAATTAAGCTTATGGACAAATGCCCTAGAAACAAGAGGTTTTAAAATAAGTATGACTAAAATAGAGGATATGACATGTAAGTTTAGTAACAATAGGAGTGTAGATCAGGATACACTTAGGCTTGGATACCAAGAGATAATTCAAGTAACCATTTCCAGTACCTTGGTTCAATAATTCACAGCAAGGGAGAGATTGAGAAGGTTGTCACCCAAAGAATTCGAGCAGGATGGGCAAAATGGAGGGTTGCATCTGGACTTTTGTGTGGTAGGAGAATACCATTTAGATTAAAAGGAAAATTCTATAATAGTTGAAAGGAAAGTTATGTTGTATGGAGTAGAGTGTTGAGCAATCAAGAAACATGTTCAAAAAATGAGTGTGGAGTAAATGCAAACGCTAAGATGGATGAGTGGAAAAACTAGAAAGAATAGGATCAGAAATGAAGCTACCCGTATAAACTTAGAAGTAGATCCAAAAAGTGATAAAATGACGGAGAGTGTCTAGTTAGAAGAAGTGATTTGTTACAAGTGGAAGGGGCTAGAAGAGCTAGGAATAGATCCAAAAAGGGCATGGGTAGATGTATTAAGAACGGATTTAAGGCGCTGCCTCATCTCTCCACTTCACCTGCAAGGTGTTTTGTGTAGAAATTAGAGACTTAATTAGTTATTGGAAGTAGATCCTTCCATATATTGACAACTTATTGGAAGTCTTATCTATTTAACTACAACTTGTCCTAACATTGCCTATGTTGTTCAAGTTGTGAATCAATTTGTATATATTCCATGTCAACCTCACCTTTCAATTGTTCATTGCCTTCTCTCCATTCATATCGCTCCACAGGTTGGTGATTGTTTCTTGGAGACTTTCTCATCTACCAGAAATGCAAGAAGCGACAACCATCTCTAAGTCCTCTACAGAATTTGGATATTATGCTATGTCGGTCACTTGTGTGAGATTCTTCAATTTTGGGATCTCTTTAAAGAACTTGGGTTCACACCTCTCAAGTCTCTTCCAACTCCTCTCTTTGTCGATAACACGAGTGCCTTCCGTATTGCTTCCAATCCAGTCTTTCATGAGCAAACCAAACATATTGAAGTTGACTATCACTTTCTTTGGGTGTAATTTTTCTTCCTCATGTCTCTTCGATACTTTAGCTTGTTGATCTTTTCACCAAGGCTACCCTTAGGGCTCATCATGAATTTTTTGTAAGCGAACTAATGTGGTCAATACATCAGTTTGAGGGGGAGTGTAGACAAGCTAGCTAATGCATAAATTTGTATAGTCTTATTATTTTTTTCTCTTTTTGCTATTATAATATAATTAGTCCTTGTAGCATATTATAATGTGATTGTTATATTGCCCAAGGTAATCTTCTAATTGCCCATATCAAGTGCCCTCTCAATAAAATACATATCTTAGGGGTAGGGACGTTGTTTGATTACACCCTCCGTATGTCTCAACTACTCTTTCTCTCTCTCTCTCCCAACACTAAATCAAGTTATTCATGAAGGATTAATCTGCTCAAGTTACCAAAGGTATCATAAGCAGCCCAATCAACATCACTAAACACCTCTAGTTGTAGTTGATAAACAGTCCCTCTTGATCTCCCAAGCTCCCATAGAAAATTTTTCATAACTTGATGAAACTAATTTTAGCCCGAAAAAATATATAATTTAGGGATGGAAATTGTCCCCATTTTCCTTATCTCTGCAAGGACCTGCCCTAAATGGGGTGGGGATGGAGACGATTCCCCCCCTGTGGGGATGAAGATGAGGAAACTTTCATCCCTGTTGGTAGGGACAAGGAGAGCACTCCCTACAGAGTGGGGATCCTCATGGGGATGAATTGATCAAAAAAATCCCCACGGGGATGGTGATGATGATTTTCGCGGGGATGGAGATGAGAAGTGGCTACCTATCCCTGCCCCGCCCCATCGCCCTTCCTAATATAATTCCTTTTCTAGGTAGCTAGTTCTTCATAAAAGTTCTCCACAACTAGATCCTAGAAATGCTCAATCTAAGGTTTCCTCCTTGTGGAACACCTAAACATTTCAAATGTCAATGGTTTAAGAAACAAACATAAATTGATGCAATCCTCCCCACCTCTTCCCCCTCCCCCCATGTTCAACACTTCAACCCTACTATACAACTTCTCTCAAAACAAGTTATTAAGGGTCCCATATTTCTTACCCTTTCATCTTCCATGTCCTAAGAAAACAACACTATGTCATCAGAAAATTGCAAGTGAGTTACCTCACCCCATTCTTATCAGTCCTCCATCCTTTTTATCAGCTCACATTATCCACTTTAAAGATTTTAAGCACATCAACTAGGAGGGTGAACAGGAAAGGGGACTAAGGGTTTCTTGGTCGCAAACCCAGTTCCACACCAGTCTTGAATGAGTTTCACCATGTCCACCGCAATAAGGTCCAGCAAAATTTGTAATTACAAAAAGCAAGATAAAGCATAGCACAGTGCAGGTGCATGAGTGACATGAAAAGGCAAACTTCAATTAAAGATTCATAGAACCATATGCTACCAACCATCAGATCCAAGATTAATGGTTAAGCCTGACGACAAACAAATCCAAGGTGTTCAATCCCAACTAAACACAAAAAGAATGTAACTATGTAGAATTGGAATGATAGAAAATTCTTCTCCAAAACATACAAGGGAAAACATCTTTTTATTATATATAAAATAAAAAATGTATTAAAGTAAATCAAGTATGGAATTCATCAAAAAAAAATCAAGTATGGAGAAAGTGCATTAGAAAATACTCATATAAAAACTGCAATGCATTTACAGAACAACCACCAGTATACCACTCAAGACAACTAGTGATTAGGAAAAAAAATAACTCACTGCCGCTACAAAAAAAGTGTTAATAAAACAAGAAGAAACACTACATCCTCCATCAATTTTGATAAGAACTCTATACTCAATAAAATCATTTCCCCAGTCCTCAGATCTTCTAACTCCGTTAATTAGAATAAAAACCTTTCTCGCCCTTGTAAGTACACCCCCCTTGGTTTTGTCATAATAAGCTTAATAGGTAAGCACCTGAAGAAACAGAACTCAACTTGGAATATGTGACTTGACGAGTTGCAGTTACCTTCCAATTGATAAACCCTTGAAAACACAAAGTTGACAGAAGAGAGAAAGAGAAAAACACCCATTACACATACAACCTTCTTGTACACAAATTTCCTACAAAGAAACTGAAATCCAAACACTGAAACCGATAATCCTTTACTCAGACTGCCTCCCCGACAAGAACAGAGGGACCAAGCGAAAGAGCAAAATATAAACTGAAAAACAATGAAAAATTAAGCATATGAAACAAAATGCAGCACGGTAATGGAACTCCCAGGGCCAAATAATCAAACAGAATATGGATCATATGTAAATGCATGAAAACAAAAATCACATGTATTTGAATACTCTCAAAATGAGATAAGTGTCAACCACCTGGCGACTTCAGCCACTTCTGAAGTACCTGACAGTCTGCTTTTCTCTACTCAAGCAAATTAAATTTCTCCATCCATCCTGATTTTACAAAAAAATCCCCTCAACACTCATTAACTCCATCCAAACCTTAATGTAACGATTGCAATCACCAAAACCCGAGTTGCACCAATACCTCCAAGCCACTGTTCTGGCTTTGCCGCAAACGAGACTCGTATAGTACAATAAAGTATAAACAGATACCAAAAACCAAAACTCCAATACACTAAGAAAAAGACAAAATTCCCACAGCCACATAATACTCACGAAAACCCATCTCACCGAGAGTAGAGACAAAATCACAATTAATTGCCAGTACAATGTAGATCCACAGATCATGAGTTCAAATTTCAAATGCAGCATAGACAAGCCAAAACGAATTACAGTGAACCAGAAAACATCGAGCATTACATTCCCAAAGAAAAACACATTGGCAGAGAGATGGAAGCAAAACAAAAATCCGAGAAATGAACTGACCAGGAATCCTGAGAAACGCCATTACATAACAGATAGAGCGTTGAAGTAGAGCAGCAGAGTGAGAAACAGCGCGGGATCAACATTGAAGAAAAGCAAAAGACGCACTTTTTGGATCAATCTACCAATCAAACAAATCAGTCAAAGTTGGTCACTTTCCCGTCGATCTTTTTCCCAATCGAATCGGCCTTCAAGAGCCCACCTCTTCTGCTTCCACGATCCGATACGAAGAATCGGCTCACCTTCTCTCAGTCTCACCTCGCGCACTCACGCACGCTCTCTATCAAAACTGCGTCAATTCGTCTTCTTATCTCGCATTAAATTAACGTCTCGCTCGATCACTGATACTACCGGCTAAAGTACGCCGGGGATGTTAAGGTTCGGTGGTTCACTCAGGTAATGTTGTTTGTTGTCGTCACGCTCACGCAGGCCACCGGCAGAGATCGAGTGGGGTCAGGTCCATCATGGTGAACAACCTGGCGCATGTTAGCTTCGGACTCTTTGTAATCGTAGTTAAAGAAAAACTGGAGGGAAATTAATTAATGTTAAACTTTTAATTTATTCGTAGAAAGCCCCTCCCGTATCCACTAATTTCAACGCCTTTGACTGAGCAAACCTTAGAAAATGCCCTTGTTTTCAATTAAACTTCCGAAATGCCACTTTGTTTTGCCACGTGTCCGCATAGGGATGTCAAATCAACCTTCTTTACCGCGCGAGTATCTCCGAATCCTCTACGAGAACAAGATGATGCTGGGGCGCTTGTGATACGCCACGTCAGTCTGATATGTGGGCCCCACATCCCAGGATTGCGAGTAGTTATCGAATTGTTAAAATGAAATGAACCGAATTCGAGAAGTTGTGTGGGACCAACATTTAGTTGGGGCCCACGTAGGAGATTTGGGACGGCAACGGCCAAATGAGCCAGACATCAACATAACCAAAAAATTCCAACGAGAGTTGGTAATGGAATCCGTTGCACGTGATGAACTCGATATTAGTTTGGTAGGGCCTACTTCCATGGTTTTGGACCCCTGGCTCGGGTAAACGGATTCTGCAAGTTGGATCTTGGGGAACAAGGAGATAAATGGGTCTTAGGACCTATCATTTAATTAATGGATCAATGTACTAATCCCTTTGATTATTAATGGGGATAATAATAAGGACCACGAACCAAACCAATTATTAATATGGACAATTGGGTCTGACCCTATTATACTTGACACCTATGATAACCAATGGTAATGATAATTTAAAACCTAATTTTGATAATATGACCTTAATAAAATTGAATTAATGTAATCAACTGTTTATATTTTGATAAAAGATATGCAACAACACATATCTTACGT